GAATTACAGGCGAGAGCCACACGGCGCCCGGCCGTCCTTCTATTATTTATATATATACACATATACATATACATATATATATACATACACACACACACACACATATATATGTGTGTGTATATATATATATATGTATATATATATATATATATATAAAGGTGGTCGGGCGTGGTGGCTCAAGCCTGTAATCCAAGCACTTTGGAGGCCAAGGTGGGCGAATCACCTGAGGTTGGGAGTTCAAGACCAGCCTGACCAACATGGTGAACCCGTCTTTAAAAAATAAATATATAAAATTAAAAAAAAATATAACAAAAAAGGTTTGGCACAGTGGCTCACACTTGTAGTTTCAGCACTTTGGGGAGGCCAAGGCAGGAGGATTTCTTTGAGATGTGTGGGCAACAGAGTGACACCTTGCCTCTGTAAAATATAAACAAAATTAGCTGGGCAAAGTGAATGCAGTCCTAGCTACTCAAGAGGGTGAGGTGGGAGAAGTGCTTGAGCCTGGGAGGTCAAAGCTGCAATGAGTCATGATTGTGCCACCACACTCCAGCACAGGTGACAGAAGCAAGACCCTGTTCCTCCCCTGCCCCCCAAAAAAGTCAACTGCAACACAGTCTCACACAGGTTCTTCAGGAGGTATTCCAGAGGCAGTTACCACAGATGACAACTCCGCAGGTCATTGGCCCTGAAGACCCTCTGAACGAGAGGAGGAGGTGGAAGACAGTGATGATGATGATCCTGACCCTGCAGACTTAGGCTAATGTATGTTTTTTTTTTTTTGAGATGGAGTCTTACTCTATTGCCAGGCTGGAGTGCAGTGGCACCATCCCAGCTCACTGCAACTTCCGTTTTCCAGCAATTCTCCTGCTTCAGCCTCCCAAGTAGCTGGGACTGCAGGCATGCACCACCACACCCAGCTGATTTTTTTGTATTTTGAATAGAGACGGGGTTTCACCATGTTGGCCAGGATGGTCTTGATCTCTTGACCTTGTGATCTGCCTGCCTCAGCCTCCCAAAATGCTCGGATTACAGGCGTAACCCACTGTGCCCGGCTGTGGTTTTTGTTTTTAATTATTACTATTTTTAAAATAACAGAGATGGTCTCACTGTATTGCTCAGGCTGGTCTCGAACTCTGAGCTCAAGCCATCCTCCCACATCTGCCTCCCAGTGTTGGGATGACAGGTGTGAGTCCCTGTGCCCAGCCCCAATTTTCTTTTTTCTTTGAGACAGAGTCTCACTGTTGCCCAGGCTGGAGTGCAGTTGCCCGATCTCAGCTCATTGCAACCTCCGCCTCCTGGGTTCAAGTGATTCTCCTGCCTCACCCTCCCCAGTAGCGGAGACTACAGGCACGTGTCACCACACTTGGCTAATATTTTTTTGTATTTCTAGTAGAGATAGGGTTTCACCATGTTAGCCAGCATGGTCTCAATCTCCTGACATTGTGATCTGCCCACCTAATCCTCCAAAAGTGATGGGAGGCTGGAGCCACTGCACCCAGCCCTCAGCCTCCATTTTTTAATCTGTTTTCTGAGATGGAGTCTCCCTGTCACCTAGGCTGGAGTGCAGTGGCACAATGTCGGCTCACTGCAACTTCTGCCTCCGAGGTTCAAGAGATTCTCCTGCCTCAACCTCCTAGGTAGCTGGGATTACAGGTACCCGCTACCACACACGGCTAAATTTTGTATTTTTAGTAGAGGCTGGGTTTCACCATGTTGGCCAGGCTAGCTTCGAACTCCTCACTCCAAGTGATCCACCCGCCTTGGCCTCCCAAAGTGCTAGGATTACAGGCATGAGCACCGGCGCCCAGCTTGTTTTTCACCTTTTGTGCTGTATTTTTTCTGTATCTTTTTTTTTTTGAGATGGGAGTTTCACTCATTGCCCAGGCTGGAGTGCAATGGTGCGATCTTGGCTCACCACAACCTTCACCTCCCAGGTTCAAGTAATTCTCCTGTCTCAGCCTCCTGAGTAGCTGGGATTATGGGCATGGTGGCCCATGCCCAGCTAATTTTGTATTTTTAGTAGAGATGGGGTTTCTCCATGTTGGTGATACTCTCTGCCCACCTCAGCTTCCCACAGTGCTGGGATTAGAGGCGTGAGCCATAGCTCCTGGCCTTTTCTGTTTACTTACCATTGTTACAGCTGCCTTCAGTATTCAGTACAGTAACATGTTGTACTGGTTTGCAGCCTGGAGAAACTGGCTAAATATGTAGTACGCTCTACCATCCACGTTTACTTAATTACACAATACACTCGACAGAGTCACACAACAGCAAAACTGCCTAACAACACATTTCTCAGAATATATCCTTTCAAGGCCAGGTGCAGTGGCTCATGCCTGTAATTCCAGCACACTGGGAGGCCAAGGTGGGTGGATCACTTGAGGTCATGAGTTTGAAACCAGACAGGCCAACATGGTTAAACACTGTCTCTACTAAAAATACAAAAAATTTTGTGGGCATGGTGGCACACACCTGTAATCCCAGCTACTCGGGAGGTGGACGCAGAATTGCTTTAACATGGGAGGCAGAAGTTCAGTAAGCTGAGATGGTGCTACTACACTCCAGCCTGGGCAACAGAGAGACTCGGATTAAAAAAAAAAAAAAATCCCTGTAAACAACAAACATATAACTATGTTACATACTACATTAGCTGATTAAAGAGAAAAAAAATCTTGTCTCAATAGAAGTAGAAAAAGAACTGATAAGATCCCGCATTCACTTGTGTCCAAAAACAAATAGAAGAGCAGGTGTGCTGGCTCAAACCTGTTAATCCCAGCACTTTGGGAGGCCGAGGCAGGTGGATAGCTTGAGGTCAGGAGTTTGAGACCAGCCTGGTCAGCATGCTGAAACCCTGTCTCTACCAAAAATGCAAAGAATAGTTGGGTATGGTAGTGGGCGCCTGTAATCCCAGCTACTCGGGAGGCGCAGGCAGGAGAATCACTTGAATCCAGGAGGCGGAGTTTGTGGGGAGCCAAGATCATGCCACTGCACTCCTGTGTGATAGAGCAAGACTCTGTCTTGTTAAAAAAAAAAAAAAGACAGAAATAGAAGACAAATGCCACTGGGCCTGGTGGTCACGTCTCTAACTCTAGCACTTCGGGAGGCCAAGGTGGTTGTATCACCTGAGGTCAGGAGTTTGAGAGCAGCCTGGCCAACATGGTTAAACCTTGTCTCTAAAAATACAAAAAAGCTAGGCATGGTGGTGGCACGCCTGTAATCCCAGCTACTTCAGAGGTTAAGGCTGGAGACTTGCTTGAACCCAGGAGGTGGAGGTTGCAGGGAGACAAGATTGTGCCGTTGTACTTCATCATGGGCAACAAGAGTGAAACTATGTTAAAAAAAAAAAAAGACAAATGCCTACTTCATGGTAGGAAAAGGAACCTCCCTCACCTGATAGTTATGTAATAAGACTCTAGAGCACACGTATTTCTTGATGAAACACAAACACACAGGTGTCCACTAATGCCATTTGTGGGTAATGTACTGGGCTAGGCAGGGAGAGGTGCCTCTCATCTTTAATTACAGCACCTTGGGAGGCTGAGGTAGAAGGATCGCTTGAGACCAGAAGTTCAAGCCCAGACTGGGCAGCAGGGTGAGACCTCATCTCTACACAAATAGAAAAATAAATAATCCTAGCTACTCGAGAGACTGAGGCAGGAGAAATGCTTGAACCTGGGAGGTGGAGGTGGCAGTGAGCAGAGATTGTGCCATTGCACTCCAGCCTGGGCAACAGAGCCAGACTCCATCTTAAGGGGGAAAAAAAAAGGCTTGGCAAGGATTCTGGATACACAATATACAAAAATCAATTGTTTCTATATTGCAAAAAAAAAAAAAAAAAAAAATGCAGTGAATATAGACATCTTTTGAGATTCAAAAAGTTAAGTCACCTAGACAACAGCCCCCTTCCACAACCAGCCTTGGGGGCTCCCTCCCGTCCAGGACCAGACCCACTCTGTCAGTACCAGTCTCACAAATACACTGCTCCCTGCCTCCCCTGGGCTTGTTCCTAAAGTAAAAAACTGCCAGGCCCCAAGTGGCCACCAGAAGTATCTGGTGCAATGCCTTCAGGTCCTAGGGAGACCTGCAGACCCTGCTGCGTGCCAGCAGGAAGGAGGTCCTTCTCACACCGCCCACAGGCCTAGCCTGGGTCTCTGCTTCTTTCCTTTTTCCCTAGAGGGCTTTCTGGACCTTGAGGATGGCAACTTGGCAGCCCTTACGCAGGGAGAGCTTTCTGGACAGGTTCAGCTTCTCGCTGCCAGCTCTCCTGGTTTCCTGTTCCTCACCCTTGCCAGTTTCGGTTTCCTACTGGCCTGGGGGAGTGACTGTCTCCTCTGAACCATGTTTAGGATGTCTGTCTCATTGCCCACGGAGCCAAAAGCATAGTGCCAAGAGCATGGTAAGCAAACGACCTGCACTAGATGGTAGGCCTTTGGGAGTCAGGCAGCCAGCATGTGAGTCGTCTTCATCCCCGGGGACAGCTAGGTAGGTACGGAGGAGAGCAGAGGCAAAGGGACAGATTGGCCACACTGCCAAGTCCAATGCCTCCTTGTGGTTTTGCTGGCACTGCTCACCTGTGGCAGTGGCTGGTGCATCTACATACTCCGAGCGCTGACTCCCACTCAGAGGGCAAATTCTGTATCTGGGTGACCAGGGGCAAAGGGGGGCACTGCAGTGCAAGGTCTCCAGGGCAATCTTAGCCCATCCCACTCAGAGCAGCACCCCCAGCACCTCTGAGAGGCTGGCCAAGCTGGGCAGACAGCTTCTCGGTCAGCCGTGCCTCTCAGAGTCGACTCTGCTCTCTTAGGGACTCCAGGCTTGGGCTTGTGGCTGTTCTCAGAATAGCCTTTCACATGCTTGCTGGATTTAGGACGGACAAACTTCATGAACGCACAGCGATGTGAAATATACTCAATGCAAGGCAGATAAGAACCCCACACCTTGGCAAAAAGGGGGGAAACAGACTCTTAATTCCAAAGAGAAAATGAATGTGTGAAAGATACTTGGTTCAAATTAATGGTTTTATTTCCATCTTTAACACTAGCAGAGGAGTCCAAAACAGATTGATATCCATGGATATAGTTTAAATGTAACAAAGAAAAAGCTGAACTATGTACACTGAAAAAAGGAGAGACATTTTCATACCAACCTTTTCCTGGTTTGCAGTTTCTCAATAGTAGAAACCAAACACATTAAAATTTTTTTTTACCAATTTAATTTAGGACGAAGTAACACAACTTTTATTATCAACCACTTGAGTTATCTTTAAGGATAAAACTTAAAGAAATTTAAAAATGGGTATTAACCATATTTTATTAGTGGACTGGCTCCAAGGTTGCCTTGCTCCAAGTCTGGGCATCACGACGTTGCCATGACACCCAGAAGAAAGTTAATGGCAATGATGTCCAGTCAGAGGGCAGACACGCTAAACATCATGACAGTGAGAGCTGAGCCTCCTGCCCTCTTCAACTCCAGGTAGAAAACTATGATTTTCATTCAAACTAACTGAGCCAAACAGTTAAAAAGTCAGAATGAAGAATAAAACTCTTTTCTTTTCACATAGAGGAGGGACACTCCTTCAGCCCCATTTAAAGTGAGTTCTGTGCTGAGTCCCTGCTCCTTCAGAAGGGTAAACTGAAGGTCAGTTATTGCTAACAAAGCCAGAAGTGGCCCCTTTCCCACTCTGAAGCTGTTTCACTGAAAAGGCCGTTGGTTTGGCTTGAAGCCCTCGGAGGAAGGAGGAGTGAGGAAGAGGAGGCAGGCTGGCACTCTAAGGCCTCTCTCATTAGCCACCCCCAGGCCCTGTGCTGTCAGGGGCACTCTGCTGCCCCTTGAGAGAACCCGAGGCTCCCACACCTGTGGAGTGAAGGAGAGGTTGTCATCTGGGTTCCTGTGGGGGGACAAGCCACTGTGTTTGCCAATCAAAACCTATGGAGTAGTCAAAAGCCCAAAGGATCCAAGCCCAACTGTGCAGAGGAGCAGTTTCTGAAGTAAATGCCACTGGGTTGGGAAGGAGGAGGAAGCCAAGTCAGGTGGGCCAGGTTCTCTGAAACGTGGGGCAACAGTGACTGGGGCAAAAGCCTGGAACCGAGCGGCTGCTAAGGCCACGGTCACAATTACTGCCACCACCTCTCAGCACCTATGCGGGGGCAGACATGAGGCAGTGGGAACTGAGGACTGGAGGGTGTGTGGTGAACACAGGATGGATTTTATCAGAAAGGAGAGGACACCCACACAAGTGCCTGCCCTATTTGACTTGCATGTCCTGTGCCAGGTGAAGGACACTGGAGCGTGGGTACGGTTCCTGAGAACAGCTGGTGGGCAGAAAGGGGCTGGGATGGGCACTGCTCCGCAAGCAACATTAGGCCTCTGAGGGGGTGCTAACAGTGCTACATCTTGAGGGCTGCTGAAAAGTAGGTAAAGAATAGCCTTTATTGCACTTTTTCCTTCTTAGAAAACGGGGGATTGCCCTGCAGTTTCTCTTTTTGCAGAAATCACTGCAGATCAATGGTAAGGTGCGGGCAGAATCACGGTGACCTCAAGGGGCCACTCTTGCACCTGGGATCCTCGAGCTGCGTGAACCAGGTCTGGCTTGGTCAATGTGTGGGCAGGCAGACTGGTCAACCGGCAGACACTTGGGACAAAAGGTGGGGTGCCTGGGAGAGCTGGGGCAAACTTTCCAAACAGGGAAAACTTCTTGGCAACTGTGCACGTTCTCCAAGCAGACTAGAACCACAGTTCCCAATTACAATGTGCCTGACTCCTCCCTTTCTCCTAGCCCAGAGGAACAGAGATGAACTGGGAGGGTCCTGGGCCCAGTGCCGTAGCATCAAACTGGAGATAACAAAAGGAAGGGGCTGGAAACAAAAGAGGGGTTTACATCTCGGACGTTGGTTTCAAAACAGTCTTTCTGAGCTCAGGAAAATGGAGGCAGATAGATACCACTGGAGAACCTGGCTGGCTGGCTGTCCATCCGTCTCTCCTGAGCACTCTGAACACCTCAGATATAAATGGGGTGGTACCGTTTGTGGTTGATCTTTTTCCTACAAGTTGGGCAAGTATTAGCATTCCTCAGGGAATCACGGAGGCACTGGCTACAGAAGACATGGCCGCATTCTGTGGAAACGATGAGACGTCCATTCTGCACAATCTAGAAGGCATTATAAGAAGAGGCTCTGAGTTTGCCCTTGCCCCAGAGCAGCCACTGTCCCCAGAAAATCCCACCCCTGTCTATGCCTAAGATGACCAGTTAGAGGAAAGAGCGAGCCAGGCTGCAGCAGCAACAGGGAGGGGCTCTGGAGAGCGAACTGTACCTGGAGCTGGAGAGCAGGAGGCAGGGGCTGTGGCATCTCAACAGTGTGGCAGCCTAAGAGGGTTATGAGGGACCCCAGTAAACACTAGCAGCTTCCAGTTAGAGCCAGAATGGGGGACACAAAGGAGGATGCATTTACACCTGGAAGCTCAGGGCATACAGGGCTGAAGGTGAAAGCTGCGGGGTCCAAGGAGAAACTGGCGCATTCTCCCCTCACAGACGGATCTGCAGCAAGGGATGGCCCAGGCATGGCTGCAAGCAGAGGTGTCAAATCCCACTAAAGGAGAAGATCCCATCTCACCCAGTTCTTTCACTGAAGTTTAGAAACCAGAAGCAAGGAAGATCCAGCCTGGTTTACTTACCTCTGAGTATCCATCCATGCAGATAGGACAACTGACAGTACCAGAGGGCCTAAGATCACAGTGCTTCACATTAGTTTCTCAGTAAATGCAAACATTTCATTACACCCTACCAGTGGCCTTCATGTAAGTGTCCGTATCCCCTGCAAGAGTCCCGCCCCGGCCTCCTCTGACTCTGCTTTAGCATAGGCACCCACAAGACTTTCGGGAAAGCCAACTGCCTCAAGGGTATGTGGCAGGGTGAACATGAGAAAGGGGAACAAGAGAAGGTGCAGACAACCTGAGCCAGCCTGCCCTCTCCTGGGTCCCCCCTGGCCCCAGGATCCCTGCCTGGGGCCACTGGGAGTATTTGTGTCCACCTGTTAGTGCTCACATATTCTGGTTACAGTGGGAACAACTGCGCTCAGTTCTAGACCCAGTTCCAGCTGTATCCAGATGTTGTGCAGAAGCTTCACCAAGCCCTTCCAGGGCCAAGAGCTCATGGAGTTGCTGAGAAGTATTTCTCTGCCCTGGCCCCACACCCTAGCATGGCATTAGCAGAGCTGGGGGCATGTCGGTACCTGAGGCCTGTAGCACCCTCATCCCTGGTGTTCCTGGGAGTGTGGGTAGTCACATACACGTCTCTGTCCCTGGACAACTCTTCATCATCACTGCTCACCACGCAGCTGTCAGCATGGTCCTGGTGCAGCCTCCTAGCATTCCTCCTTGGTCTTCTCCTTTCTAAGGTAAGAGGTCACATTTTCACGTTGGAGGCTCCCTGCTCTTACCATCCTCACCACCCCCATCCTGATGCCTCTAAGACTTTCTTCCTTCCTTGCCTGGGACTCCCAGAGAAAAACTGCTGCTGTGCTCAGCTATGCCCCAGAAGGTTCTGCCCTGCTCTGGAGGCCACTGTCCTATCTTCCCAGGAGAAACCCCCGCAAGCCCTGTTGTGAGCTGCCAGCCTTCTCCAAAATCTGGTAGGCCACAAGGCAGGATGCAGCTCAGTGCTCAGTGACAGGGTGAAGTTTTTCCAGCAGGCACAGGGGGCTGATTGCATGGGTCTGACCACAGTATTTGCCTTGGAATCTTCCTGCTTGGAGTGCTTGGGTACAGTCTGGCAAGGCCTGCAGCACCTCAGCTCTCATCTATGCCAGTTTTCTCTCCAAACCCAGTGAAAAAGGAGACAAAACCACTCACCATCAACAATCTTGGAAAAAGGAAGAGAAAAACAAGAGAAACAAGCAGTCAGTTTGATATAAGTGATAAACAAAGGCATTTCTTTTTTCTGTTATGTGACACCCTCTGCAGAATCCTCTGGTGGGCAGCAGAGGCCCCCTCACTTTCCTCCCACCTGCAGAGAATCTGTGCACCTTTCCCAGTCAATCAATCCCATTTCCCAGGTCACTCCACCTCCCAGCTGATAGGCTGTGCCTCTCCCCACTGGGTGTTTAGTGGGGCCTCTGGGAACATGAAACACAGCCAGCCACAGCCACACCATGTGCTGGCTGCAAGACCTGAGGACCCTACTATCTGGGGGCTGCCGCTTCCTCTTCTGGAAAACAGAGGCACCAGTGCCATGCCTGACCAAGCTGTTGTGAGGATGACATGAGGCAGTGAACATTCGGCACAGCACAGCATGGGGGCACCACGCTCTCTTGTGCTGACATGGCTCATGTCAGCAACTGCCAAGGTGGAGCCTTGATGTGGAGGGGGATCTGCATTGCTCAGTAGGTTGTTACAAATAACTAACAAAGAACAGCAGGCTATGCGTGGACCAATGGGTGTGACAGACACCAAGGACTAAGATCAACCCAATTCTGTGTCCTGGGGGCCTAAGAATAGACAAGACTAAAAACTTGACAAGCCCCTCACCTGCCAGCTCAGAACTTACATTTAGACGATTTCTGCTCCAACACTTTCAAACTCAGTTCCTCCCACCTTCTGGCAAAGTGCTCTTACCCATCTAGGGAGACCAGTGGAACACCATTTCCCTCTTGCTCAGCATGTAGGAGCGACTGCTTCAGGGAAGTTCTCACTGCCTAAGCCCTACTGCTCACCTCACTGGCCTGTTCCCTGGCAGGATATCCTGCCCCACAGTGATAAGAAGCTCTCATCCTCTACCCTGACTCCCGTGTAGCCAGGATCCTGGATGTGAACTGGGTACCCTCAATCAGACACACCTGTGCTACTGGCAGGGCGGGGGTCGAGGCTGATTTGGCTGCTATAGATGTTGGCACTGGCAGGCAGAGCTGCATCATGAAGAAACAGTTCTGGCAGAGGCTGCTATGTCTCGAGCCCAGGCCTCTCCGCCCTAGAAAGGGTCTGTAGTGGGCCGGGCGCGGTGACTCACGCCTGTAATCCCAGCACTTTGGGGGCCGAGGCAGGTGGATCACGAGGTCAAGAGATCGAGACCATCCTGGTCAACATGGTGAAACCCCGTCTCTATTAAAAATACAAAAAATTAGCTGGGCATGGTGGCACGTGCCTGTAATCCCAGCTACTCAGGAGGCTGAGGCGGGAGAATTGCTTGAACCCAGGAGGCGGAGGTTGTGGTGAGCTGAGATTGCGCCATTGCACTCCAGCCTGGGTAACAAGAGCGAAACTCCGTCTCAAAAAAAAAGAAAGGGTCTGTAGTAGAAAGGGTCTATAGTAGTGTCTACCTGAACCCTAAGATATTAGTGCCGGGTGTAGACCCCGCCTCCAGACCATCTTGCAGCAGACATAGCAGCTCCCTAGGTGGGTCAGTGCTTCGAGGTCAAGAGTTATTCCTGGAGACCCAACCCAGAGATTGCTCATTTAGGATTCTCCTTCCATGTTAAAATCTAAGCTTAGGAATAATTAGAGTAGATTGTTTCCCAAATGGCATCCTGACATACACAAATGGCCATATAGGCAGGATGCAGGCCTGAGTATAAAGGTCTTTGATTTGTGGTAAAAATATAATCCACACGTGTGGAGCCACTGAAAAGCGTTCCCCTTGACTCTTAGAGGAGACTGCATAAGGTGACAAGAGAAATCTGGGGACAGTCAACCTCACCATCAGGACCAAACTTATCAGGGCTGGCACAATGTACTGTCCACATGAAATCCAGAAAAAGAGGCTCTGATAACAGCTCTGGCCCTTGGAAAAAGCCCTGGATTTAACTGGTAGCAGAAGGAATTCTTCTGTGGGTAGAAATGACCTCAGCTTTCTACAGCTCCAATATGCCCCTACCCTCTGCCAAGATGGCCCACTAATGGACACCCGGAAAGAGTATGACACCCTGTGTCCCCCAGCAATGACAGTGGGCATACTGAGTATGGTCTCCTGTGAGTCATACCCAGCTTCCCACCCCTGGGGTGTGCCAAACTTAGACCTGTGCTGAGCACTGAGCCCAGGGGCTGCTGGCAAACAGCAGGTGATACACATACAACTACTGGGCTATAAGAACAGGCCAGAGTGTTTCCTCATTGGTAACAATTCTGACTGTGCCTATTTTCAATGAGAGAAAAACAGCTTACAGATGAGGCTTCAGTAGAATAATACCATGGGCCAGGCGTGGTAGCTCACACCTGCAATCCCAGCACTTTGGGAGGGTGAGGGTGAGGAGGTCGGGAGTTTAAGACCAGCCTGGCCAACATGGTGAAACTCTGTCTTTACTAAAAAATAAGACAAAAATTAGCTGGGCGTGCTGGCAAGTGCCTGTAATCCCAGCTACTCAAGAGGCTGAGGCAGGAGAATCGCTTCAACCTGGGAGGCAGAGGTTGAAGTGAGCCAAGATCGCACCACTGCACTCCAGCACAGCCTGGGTGACAGAGTGAGACTCCATCTGAAAACAACAACAACAAAAACAATTAAAAACAAACAAAAAAACCCCTAAAACTAAATATGGCCAGGTGCAGTGGCTCACGTCCAGGTGTGGCAAGGTCAGGTCACACAGATCTACTCCATGGGCAACAAAGCTGTAACATGATTTTATTGAAATAGTTTTCAGTTTGGGTTCTCATCACTAAATGCATGAACTTCTTTTTTGCTACCGTCTTTTTCTTTAAAATTTAAATTTATTTTTTGAGACAGAGTCTCGCACTATCGCCCAGGCTGGAGTGCAGTGGTGTGATCTTGGCTCACTGTGATCTCCGCCTCCTGGATGCAAGCAATTCTCCTGCCTTAGCCTCCTGAGTAGCTGGGACTACAGGTGCGCGCCAGCACACCCAGCTAATTTTTTTTTGTATTTTTAGTAAAGACCGCGTTTCACCATGTTGGCCAGGATGGTCTGGATCTCTTGACCTCGTCATCTGTCCACCTCAGCCTCCCAAAGTGCTGGGATTACAGGAGTGAGCTACCCAGCCTGGCCGTTTTTTCCTTTTTAAAAGTTCGATTCCACAAGATGTCTGAACTTCTTTAGCATAAGCTGTAACCGTGACTTGTAGTCTGTGACCAAGGCCGTCAGATGCTGGCACTGGCCAGGGACCCATACCCAAGAAACAACTGACTCTCACACTCCCAACACTTACCACAACAGAGTCATTGTGAGTCAGGTCAACAACGACGGGCTCTAAAGATTCACAGGTGAGGTCCACAATTTCATCTCCAGCTTCAAAAGAAAGAATTTAAACAAGCATTAAGTGAGGCTGTATTCCTCTACACTTTAGTATGACTGCAAATGTAACACAGGCTTATCCCAAACTAAACTGATCCTGAAGTACAAACTGCAAAGAGCACCAGGAGTGAAAGCCAGTAAACACGCTTCCAGAATTCTGCTCTGAGAGGGGATGGATGGTTTTGACAAATGTATCACGGGGGTATGAGTGCACATGTGCATACCTACCTCTGTTCCACACAGCTATGCCTCTTGTGCCCATCTGGGAGAAGAAGGCACCATGCACGCTTAGCCCCAGGCCTTTCTCTTTGGGATAGACTGGCCTGAAACCTCTGTTACTCCCAGCAGCGGAAGCAGACCACTCTCACTTGGCCCAGAGACCTAGTCAGGCTTAGCTTAATAACTTTGTCGGTTAATCTGGGGCAAACTTTTTATCTCCATTTCTCTCTCAAGTGCCTACCTACTTGGATGGAGAAGAACAGTGGTATTTATTGGTCCCTAGAACCTCAACACACAAAATGGGTTGCCATCTGTTGTGAAGCTTGCCTTTCAGCCCTATGGTACAGGGTGAAGGTAAGAAGGTTAACTAACATACAACTTCCATTTATGTAAAGTAAAAAATGACTTACAAACATTTTTGTTTCTGATTATTAACATTAAAAAGCAATAAATGGGCCAGGCGTGGTGGCTCACACCAGTAATCCCAGCACTTTGGGAAGCCAAGGTGGGCGGATCACTTGAGGTCAGGAGTTCAAGACCAGCCTGGCCAACATGGTGAAACTCCATCTTAAAAAAAAAAAAAAGGCAATAAATGAAGTTAAGATTTTTAGAAATAGTCGTGGTGTAATATTTGAGCAAAGTGTCTTGTAATGCATTTAACATATCTTTTTATTTTTTGAGAGGGAGTCTTGCTCTGTCCTGAAGACTAGAGTTCTGTGGCACGATCTCAGCTCACTGCAACCTCCACCCCCTGGGTTCAAGCAATTCTCCTGCCTCAGCCTCTGCAGTTGTTGGGACTACATGTGCCCACCACCACGCCGGGCTAATTTTTTTTTTAGCAGAGACAAGGTTTCACCATGTTCGCCAGGCCAGTCTCGAACTCCTGACTCAGATGATCCACCTACTTTGGCCTCCCAAAATGCTGAGATTACAGGTGTGAGCCACCGTGCCTGGCCTACGTATCTTAACTCCTTCTGTTTCCCTTTGAGATGGGGTCTTGCTGCTGCCTGGGCTGGAGTGCAGTGGCAAGGTCACAGCTCACTGCAGCTTCAATGTTCCAGGCTCGTGTGATCCTCCCACCTCAGCCTCCCACATCTGGCTAGTTTTTTTATTTGTAGAGACAGGGTCTTGCTATGTTGTCCAGGCTGGTGTGGAACTCCTGAGCTCAAGCAATCTGGCCAATGTGTTTTATTTTCTTGTATCATAAAGTCTCACAAGAATAAAAACCATGATAATCTTAGATGTACAATATTAATTTATACAAAAATCACTGCATTCTTTATCTAAAAGAAGGGCTGCCCAACAGTCCATATACTGATATACAATAATTTATTGAACCGTTCTCTTTCTGGTGAACACAACTCTGAGCTCTTACAAAAACAATGCTCTAATGGGCAGCCCTAGGCACACACCCTTGCACAGGGGTAAGACTGCCTTGAGGATAACAAGTGCCACGTTGGGAAGCAGCTGGTTCCTTTCTGGTTTAGAGACAGGGTCCTAGCCTCTAGTGAAGTAAGTCAGAACATTAAAGAACTCACTTGTAGACATGAAACTCAGAGACCACAGAGAATTTCACTACTCTTGGGGGGGGCCCATTTTGCACTACATTGTTTCTCTTTAAAATGCCAGCTTGCAGGCATCCTAGTTATAAAAATAATATATGCAGGGCAAAGGGACTTAACTCAGGCTGGCCAACAACCACTTCTTGAGCAGGAAGAAAGGAGAAATCCAATCTGATCTCTGCCCACACCAAGTTCCAACACAGGAAGCTATGTGGACAGATTTACCTTCTTGGGTGATTTTAGGTCTTAATGAAAAACAGAAGAGGAAAGTCAAGTACTTTACAAGGTCAAGTGAATTGGAAGATGCAATTTTAAATAGAAAAGGTGGGCCATCTCATTTGCACTGGAGATTTTTCCTTTTCCTTTTCTTTTTTTTTTTGAGACAGAGTCTCTCTCCGTCACCAGGCTGGAGTACAATGGCGCAACCTCAGCTCACTGAAACTTCCGCCTCCACGGTTCAAGCAATTCGCCTGCCTCAGCTTCCCAAGTAGCTGGGACTACAGGCACATGCCACCATGCCCAGCTAATTTTCGTATTTTTAGTAGAGACGAGGTTTCACCATGTTGGCCAGGATGGTCTCGATCTCTTGACTCCGTGATCCACCCACCTGGGCCTCCCAAAGTGCTAGGATTACAGGCATGAGCCACCGAGCCCAGCCGATTTTTCTTTTTTAAAGCTGGGCCCTTGAGTTGTAAATGGTGAGTGTGAGACTGCATAAGCCTTTTAAAGACACTAAAACACCTTCTCATAGCTCACCCTGCTGCAGTGTTCTCTCTACACTTTAACACCCACAGTTGTAGTGCCCTGGCAATCTTTATTTTTTTTTGAGACGTAGTTTCGCTCGTTACCCAGGCTGGAGTGCAATGGCGCGATCTCAGCTCACCGCAACCTCCGCCTCCTGGGTTCAAGCAATTCTCCTGCCTCAGCCTCCTGAATAGCTGGGATTACAGGCACGTGCCACTATGCCCAGCTAATTTTTTGTATTTTTAGTAGAGACGGGGTTTCACCATGTTGACCAGGACGGTCTCGATCTCTTGACCTCGTGATCGACCCGCCTCGGCCTCCCAAAGTGCTGGGATTACAGTCTTGAGCCACTGCACCCAGCCACCCCTGGCAATCTTACCAGTTTCCACGAGTTCTATGGGTTCTGCTTCCAAGGAAATCTCTGGGGTAAAGGCTGCTTCCCGAGTTCGCTTCTGGGCTTGTCTAGAATTTATTGCTCCACCACGACGCTTTCTCTGAGTAGCAAGGAGGAAAGAATAAGTCACATGACCACCAGAATGTCAGGGTTTCAGGAAGAACTAAAAGGGCAACACTAGAAACAGTTGAACTCATTAAGAAGCCAGTGAGTAGACTTGAAGTTAGAGCTCCTTTCCAGAATACTAAATGCTTAGAGAGAGAAAACCATCCAAAACATACAATGAGCAGAAATTCTAGAAAGTAAAACTTCTGTTATATTAAGCCCTTTTTGTTTCTTAAAGTAAAGAACCTCAAGTATTCTGAGTTTCTATACGTTGTGGAAAGCTGATCTTACCTTGGGAAATGTGGCCTTGAACCTTTCAGGATTTATCAAATGTGATTCACACCAGACAATCATCTCCCACAAAGAACCAAAGCTGTTTCAAGCCTGTTCCCAGTGGCTGTCCAAGAGCCATGTCTTCCAGAAGGTTCAGACTCTTAAGTGGTGGATCTGCAAATGACACTGACCAGCCTTCCTTCCACATCCTTAGGGCTGCTGGTTTGCCAATATGCTCCAGCATTTCTGGTCTGGCTGGTCCCAGATGATGAGCTGAGAACATCCTCTCCCTTCATCAGGAGACAGACCTTCCCAACAGAGCCTGTCAGTTGTTATTCGCACTGTGTTTCCGTGCTCTTCTCCCCTCTGCCCTGCCCTGCTCTGCCTCGCACCTGACCACCTGGGACACGTACTGCACTACTAAGTCTCAAGTTCCTCACCAGTACCAGCCTTGAACAGCTGTTACAAGGACTAAATGAGATCATTATGCAAAGTACTGTGCAGAGATGGAAGATGCTACTAATGCCCCAATTCCTTAGCCTTACTGGGGTCATTCTGACCCAAGAAACTCTGAAAGGACCAGATACTGAAGGTGAGATTCATATAAGACCCAGGAACACCCACCACACAGCCAAGCCCTTGCTAGGCAACAGGGCTAAGCCTAATTCTATTTGTGTTCCAATGCTACTCTATCAAATGACAGCTTGAGATATTTTGGAAATGAAGCTGGGTCTAGCAACTTCTCATGGACTAAGGAACACAGAACCAGCCCCAGGAGGGCCCAGAGGCCAAGTGAGCAACTGCTCGTTGTCTCAAGGGAGCTGACACTAACCTCAGGGGAGTTCTACTGCCCAATGCTTTAAGGGTTTCTCCAGCAGCCACCAGGTTACTTAGGACTCTTTCATATTTACTCCCTTCTCTTTGACAACGGCCTTGTAGCCTCCTTCCCTTGCAGCAGACCAAGTCTGTCTTACTAGACACTGCTAAGGAGATCTTCATGCCCTACACGGCTACCTGTGTTGTTTCTGGGCCCCATGGAGGGAGCCAAAAAGGCAGCCATAGGTCCTGGACCCTAAATCTCCCTGCATGGTTGATTACAGAAATGCCCCCACCCCTCCCTAACCCCAGGAGTCCTCTTTCCTGTCTGCTCCTCCAGGCCTTTCACCGGAGCCTCTTCCCTGCCTGGAGTGCCCATCCCTCCCTTTCTTCACTTGGCCAATTCTTGCACAGCTTTCCAGAATCCACTTAAATGTCACCTCCCTCCTGAAGACACCTTTAACCCTCCCACTCTACTGTCTCTGAGCCTCCTCCTCCCAAGTAGCTTCCCTGGACCACTCAGGACAGGCTCAGTAAGTCTAGGAATATTTGCAGAGCTCTCCCCTCTTGCCCTCCCATAATTCTGGTCATGACTGTCCTCCTTTTAACTAGCAGGGCCCTCCAGGTCTGTAGCTTCTAGTGAAAACTGACCATCTAATCACAACCACACAAGCTACAACCACACCATAATTTCAGGAATTTTAACCAATTTCTTCACACACACTTATAAAAGGCTAGGTTCTTTTGCCTGTTCTGATCTGGCCTAGGCAGAGATGGGGCTTCAGAGGTAGGGCTTAGAACATCCATTTCCCTACAGGTGAGCTATGTGGTGATCTGCAGGTGAAGCACCAAGGTGGGAGGGAGGTCAGAGAAGCAGACTTTTTTGTGTATCACATCAAAAGTGGGTCTTGGAGCACAATGGGGGCCAGGAATGGTCCGGAAGTAACAGAAGAGGGTGAGGACCCAAAGGGGTCAGAGGATGTGAGCAGCATTTCCATCACCGTTCCTTCTTAGAACTGTTTGTTCAGCCTCATCCTGCCCCCACCATCCATCTTTCCAACCATTCACAGCAGCCCTGGAGCACTGGAAGAGATTAGCAGGCTATTTCACATCTGGTCTGCCTGATACAGAATTCAGGATCTCGGAAAAGTTGTTTTGAGTTTAGATCATTCGATCAATCTTGCAGAGGGAACGCTGTCAGTAGAGAATAAACTGGGACCGGGGGACTTTCAGGCAATCTCCTCTAGAGCTAAAGGGGTTCCAGGAGACACCTGAGTTACACCACACCAGATGTGATACAAGCTCTACACAGTCTGGGTATGGCTACTCACTTTGGGAGCCCAGGTGGGAGGTCTGCTTGAAGCCAGGAGTTCAAGATCAGCCTGGGCAATACAATAAGGCAAGACTCCATGCCTACAATTTTTTTTTTTCTGAGACAAAGTCTCACTCTGTCGCCAGGCTGGGGTGCTGTAGCGCAATCTTGGCTCAACAACCTCTGCCTCCTGGGTTTAAGCGATTCTCCTGCCTCAGCCTCCTGAGTAGCTGGGATTACAGGCAAGCCCCACCACACGCAGCTAATCTTTATATTTTTAAGTAGAGGCGGGTTTTCACCATTTTGGCCAGAATGGTCTGAATCTCTTGACCTCGTGATCTGCCCCCCAGGGCCTCCCCAAGTGTTGGGATAACAGGCGTGAGCCACCGTGCCCAATTTTTTTTTTTTTTTTTGCCAAGCACAGGGCATGCCTATGATCCCAGATACTCAGAACGCTGAACTGAAAGGATTGCTTGACTCCAGGAGTTGGAGACTGCAGTGAGCTATTATCACACTACTGCACTCCAGCCTGGGCAACACTGTGAGCCCGTCTCAAAAGACAGACAAAAGCTCTCAACAGTCATTATGATGAGTTATGATGAACTTGGGTCACTGAATGTGAGAAACTTTTCACTATGAATTATTACTACCATGCTCACACTGAACCGAAATGTCACAGGGAAATCAAGCAGAAGGGAAACTGGAAACTGGGCTGTAAACACTTTTATTTCTTTACTTTGTAGAGACTCTGTCTCACTCTGTCATCCAGGCCGGAGTGCAGTAGTGTGATCATAGCTGACTCTAGCCTTGAACTCTTGGCCTTAAGGAATCTTCCTGCCTCAGCCTCCCAAGTATCTGGGGCTAATTAAAAAAGAAAAAAAAATTTCCTCCTGAACACTCTAGGAAAAAAAAAAAAAGAAAAGAAAAAAGAAAAAAATTTTTTTTTTTTGGGTAGAGATGGGGTTTCCCTATGTTGCCTTCACTGGTCTTGAACTTCTAGGCGCAAGTGATCTTATTGTCTCGACCCCTTCAAGTGTTGGGATTATAGGTGTAAGCCATCATGCCCAGTCTACAAATAATTTTTAAAACCAGCAAGTCAAAAGGCCTGGCCTGGTGGCTCACATCTGTAATCCCAGCACTTTGGGAGGCTAAGGTGGGCGGATCACGAGGTCATGAGTTCAACAGCAGCCTGATCAATAGACAATCAGTTGAACCCTGGAGGAAGAGGTTGCAGTGAGCTGAGATAGCACCACTGCACTCCAGCCTAGGCACAAAACAAAACAACCAAACCCAAAAGTTTAGTATTTCTATGTTACTGACAATTGCAATGAAGGCCTGAGATTTTCAAACCCTAAGCTATTTCTTCTCAGAGTTCTGTCTTCAGGGCACTGCCCTTTACGACTAGAATTTAGCTCAATAAGTAACTTGATGTAACTACAAAGATCCTATACATAGTCCTTCAAGAACTAGGTTACTGAGAAGTGCCATTATGGAACTCACTTTCACTAACATGCTACAAGGAAGACAGTAATTAGCCCTAAAAAAATTAAAAATTCAAGAGCGGGTAAAACTTACTGTACTCATTGTGCTCTTTGGTGCCAATGTACAGAAGAGGAAGTGATCTATGCCAAAGTTTGCGGGGAAGTCAAGTGTTCTCAAGCTTTCATGACCTCTGGTTACTGATCTGGCTTGCAGAAGAATTTGGATCTGGACAGATTTCCAGTATTCTCAAGTCCTGAAAAACAAAGATATCATGTGATCAATGCTGCCACTGACATCACTGACAACAAGGCTCAGTTCAATAATGTACTGCTCCTTTCTGTTACCAGGTTCTTCGCGGAGTATTTTACGCAATGCCAGCCTTAATTCTGTATTTATCTCAGGAAGTAAGCATTACTGTCACATACAGGACTTCCTGATCCCAAAGCCTGCGACTGTAACTATTATGCCACCTCCTACCCTTTTTTCCCAGCTCCTGCCATCTTGGCCCTGTGCTAACTGCTGGGAAGAGGCAAAAGTCAGCACTTCCACACATGACCACACCAAATCCTCAGCAAAGGGAAGGGAAGGGACCAAGCTTCTGAGCCAAGCAGAGCCCAGAGCCTCAGGCTCTTACCACAGTTTCACTATCAGAGTTGAGAAGACAAGAGCCACTCAAGGCATTCTGTGTGTCCAGCTGAGCCTTGTGTCACTGGCACAGGTGAATGGGGAACTGGGAGACTGTGGACCAGGAAGCCAAGGACAATGTTTGAGGAAATGTAGAGAAATCAGAGGCAGAAGCTGAGAGGCCCTCGGATTAAATTCAGGGACCCACTGAGAAGTGAGGCTGACCACGGTAAACTCAGTGTCAGCGATGCAGTGGGTAATGGAGCCACGAGCCCTGGGACTAACAAAGAGCCAAAGCAAGGACAAGACCCTTGTGGTCACCCACTGCTGGGTGCTAGTGGCTTAGACTAGGACAGTGCTTCACAAACATGAGCCAGCATCAGGCTCTCCCATAGCCACAGAGGCTCGTGAAACAGACTGCTAGGCCCCTCAGTTTACATTTCTAACACGTTCCCAGGAGTTGCTGCTCCACAGACCACACCATGGAACGCACTGAAGTAGCATGACATGGAGTTGCAAAGTAGATACAGGTGAGAGACCCAAGTGGCAGAAACGACAGAAACGCTCTCACACCCACCCTTCTGTGCATCCCGTGCTGCCTTGTCATCCTCCTCTGACCCATGACTGTGCCTGCTCATACTGAGTCTCCTGTCCCTGGGTACTCATCTGTCCTACTGCCAGCCCATGCTTCCAGAACAGTTTGCTGCAGCAACTTTCCCTGGCCCCTTATGAGGCCTAATTTCTAAGCAGGGTGTATGGAGCCCGGTTGGCATTCCGATTAGAGCACATCTCTTGAGCAGGGCAACTGGGATTGAAATCCAGGCACTGGCTGGGCACCGTGGCTCATGTCTGTAATCCCAGCACTCTGGGAGGCCAAGACAGGTGGATAAGCTGAGGTCACGAGATCGAGACTATCCTGGCCAACATGGTAAAACCCCGTTGCTACTAAAAATGCAAAAATAATTTGCCGGGCATGGTGGTGTGTGCTTGCAGTCCCAGCTACTTGGGAGGCTGAGGCAGGAGAATTGCTTGAAACCGGAAAACGGAAGTTGTAGTGAGCTGGGATCGTGCTACTGTACTCCGGCTTGGCGACAGAGCAATGCTCTGTCTCAAAAACAAAAGCAAAAAATCAGGCACCTGCAAACCCCAACCTGTGACCTTGGGGCATGGCACTGAACCTCTCTGTGCACCATTTCCCTGTCTATGGAACAGAACTGCACCTACCTCAAGGGTGTGCAAGGATTCCAGAAGTTATTACAAGAGAGTGTCTAGAACAGCTCAGGCACACTGGAAACGCTTCGTTTTTGTCGGCTGACACATACCCATCACCATACTCAGTCCCCCAGCACCAGGCTGGCAGTCTCTACAAATACCCAGCTCCAACCTGCTCAAGCCCTACAATGCTGTGTGATAAATCCCACTCAGTTTTTTTTTTTTTTGAGATGGAGTCTCCTCTGTCACCTAGGCTGGAGTGCAGTGGCATGATCTCAGTTCACTGCAACCTCCACATCCTGGGTTCAAGTCCTGCCTTAGCCTCCCAGGTAGCTGGGACTACAGCTTCGTGCCACCACACTTAGCTAATTTTTGTATTTTTAGTAGAGACAGTTTCACCATGTTGGCCAAGCTGGTCTCAAACTCCTGACCTCTGGTGATTCACCTGCCTCAACCTCCCAAAGGCTGGGATTAGAGGTGTGAGCAACCGCACTTGGCCTCCCACCCAGGTTTAAGAAGGGGCTGCATACCTCCTGCCTCATTAGCAGTACTGCCCCTGCCCTGGGAATACAGCAATGAGTAAACACAGCCTCTGTACAGAATCTAGTGGAGGTAGAAGGGTGAGGAGGGTGCCGGTGGGCAGCTATAACTGAGTTAGGAACTAAGTGTGCAAGAAGTACAGGAGAAGGGGTGCCGGAGCAGGTTTCTCAGGAGATGCCCAAAGATGCCGCCTGTTCCAGCTGAGCTGAGGACTTTCTTCAACACTTGGTGGTCTGGTTCTGAGAAAACGGCACACTGTGAGTATCTCACTCCCTTAGCTCCTCATTCTCCAGCTTGACCTCAATGGTTTAGAGCTGAAATCCCCTTCACTGTGTTTTTTAAAAGGGTAACTTGCATCTCCTTAGGCTGGCGCATACTATGGGACTACAGGTGCTCTCACCAAAATGCACAAATAGGCCAGGCACAGTAGCTCATGCTCTGTAATCCCAGCACTTTGGGAGGCTGAAGGGAGAGGGTCTCATGAGTCCAGGAATTGTAAACCAGCTTGGTTAACATGGTGAGATCCTGCCTCTACAAAAAAATTAAAATAATGAGGCTGGGCAATGGCTCATGCCTGCAATCCCAGGACTTTGGGAGGCCGAGGCGGGCAGATCACTTGAGGTCAGGAATTCGAGACCAGCTTGGCCAACATGGTGAAACCATGTCTCTACTAAAAATACCAAAATTAGTGGGGTGTGTGGTGCATGCCTGTAATCCCAGCTATGCAGGAGGCTAAGGCACAAGAATCACTTGAACCTGGGGGCACCACTGTACTCCAGCCTGGGCAACAGAGCAAGACTGTCTCAAAAAATTAAAATAAGTTAAAAAACTAGCCAGATGTGGTGGCGCACACTTGTAGTCCCAGCTACTGCAGGGGCGGAGAAAGGAGGGTCACTCGAGCCCAGGAATTCTAGACTGCAATGAACCATGACTGCACCACTGCACTCCAGCCCAGGCGTCAAAGTGAAGCCCCTTAAAAAAAAAAGCACAAATGCTTCCCAAAGCAAAACCTCACCTGGTAAGTGTTCAACTTTAAACAGACATTCAGGGAAGAGGCTCGGCCAGGCCAAGCCTCTAGTTAGTTTGAACAGAGGTGGGAGGTGCCCCGACATCACCTTAGGACCTACAAGGCCATTCAGACCACCCGACAGTCCCAGATCCACCACATTTCCTGCGTTCTAATATCCACAGATGTTTCTGGTCCCAAGGAATATCTTACATTTGAGTGCACACCTGTAACATAGGGGCTTTTTTTTTCCACTGGAAAATTATCCACATCAACAGTGTATCTCAGAATTTAGAAAAGAGAAATAACACTGACAAAGGCAGATGGAGAGATCAGCCTGGGGAGCGAAGGGAAACACCTGAGGCCCACATCTGGGCTGTTCCTAAGCCTCTCTCCTCCCATTTCGTTGATATTGAGCCTTCCAACTATTGCTGAAGCGGTCCTTTGTGGCTGTCCTGGTCTGCACACCCCTCACCACTCTGAAACCAGCCTCCTGCCTCCTTAAGAATGGCGCAGCTGGCCCATTATTACTTCCTGCAAAGCCTTCCGGGGCTTCCTCATTCTCCGTGCACTGGCCCATACGGCAATTTGTTTTTCTCTCTCTCTTTTGGGTTTAGTAAGGGTCCGGAGTCAGAGCTGGAAGGAATTTGGAAGGCTGGCCTTAGGGAAATCCATCAAGGGGCTGGATTTCACCAGGGCACTGGAGTGAGACAGGAATAATCCCGGCAGAGCATCCCCAGGGTGGTGGGAACACAAAAATGCAGAGTGGAGACCGAAGGGGTCATGGGAAAGCAGCCCTCACCAAGTTACAAAGGGTTCTGAATCACACAGGTGAGGGAGTCCAACAGAATAAGAAAACTAAGGAGAGCTGAGAGGTGCCTTCTACACATATGCACAAGGCTTTGTGCTTCCTAAACATGAACGTCATCCATGGCTCCCCACATCACCCAGTAAAGAAACAGGTAACTGGGCCGGGCGCGGTGGCTCACGCCTGTAATCCCAGCACTTTGGGAGGCCGAGGCAGGTGGATCACAAGGTCAAGAGATCGAGACCATCCTGGTCAACACGGTAAAATCCCGTCTCTACTGCAAATACAAAAAATTAGCTGGGCACGGTGGTGCGTGCCTGTAATCCCAGCTACTCAGGAGGCTGAGGCAGAAGAATTGCCTGAACCCAGGAGGAGGAGGTTGCGGTGAGCCAAGATCGCGCCATTGCACTCCAGCCTGGGTAACAAGAGCGAAACTCCGGCTCAAAAGAAAGAAAAAAAGAAACAGGCAACTGTGTGGTCCCCATTTTACAGACGAGGCAGCTAAGGGTTCTCAGGAGTTAAGGAACTTGCCCAAAGTCGCCCACACCTAGCAAACAGAGCCTGGACTTAAACCTCCTCAAACAGGCATATTAGTGGCAGAACCAGATACATTATTTCTAGAAAGGAACACTGACGGTGATTTTCAGAATACTCAAACTTAGTGTGTGCCAAAGGAACCCTTGCCAACATGTACTTCATTTCAGAAAGGGCTCCAGCACCCTCCAGTCTCTCATCCAGTATGCTCTCTCACTTACATAAGTGCTACAAGGACAGGGCTATTTCTACTTTGTACACCTAGCCACAACCTTGCACAAAGCAGATGCTCACATTTATTGAAGGAATATATGAGGGTAAGAGTTGGGTGTTGATGGCTCCCCCACCACTAAGAAAAGAGGAGATGGGGTAGAGAAGTGGTCATGTCTGACTGGTCAGGAGAGCCAGATGCTAGGGATCCCTAAAGCTTCCAAGGTGAAAGGAGAAACAACTCATGCCAAGGTGTCTAGCTTCTTTTTTTTTGAGACGGAGTTTCGCTGTTGTTACCCAGGCTGGAATGCAATGGCAG